GAGCATGATTCTCCTCAGCGTAGATTGGCTTAGGTTTTACAGTCTTTACACCTGCAAGGGTCTTCACTGTTTTTGAGGCCTTAACCCTGCGAAATCCACCTGTGGGTTCGAGGAAAACTCCATGTGCATAAATTTAATCCAATAGTTTTCTGCTATTTGACGTAACGCTGCAGCCACAATAAGACAGGAAGAAACAGATTGTCACAAAATGAGACGGAGAGAAAGAAAACTTCTAGACAATAGGACAGAGGGAGATTTGTAAAGCAGCAGGAAACAGATAACAGAAACCAGGTTACACTAATGAAGAATAGTCTGAAGAGTCTCAACATCAATAAATCGCTGGCATATTATTAGATCATTCTACCACAGAGTTTATGGGAAATATGGTTGTAAATTTGAGAAATACAACTGCTATGAGATTAAAACCAGAGCTGACGATAAAAATAAAAGTATCACAATCAATTTGGAAGTGAAATATTGAATAGTTTAAGTAATTTTGTTTGCATCATTAAAAGATCAATAATAATGTAATCCCTGTGCATCTAGAAAATAGCTCCCAGATGTGAATTAATAATATTAGCTTTGCCTAATGGTGCCCACCTGCCATGTGAGCCAACTTTCTGAACCACAAGTTTTTGGTGAAGAATTGCTGCTAGCGTTCATCGATGCATGAAAGAGGATCTACTGGTGGATATACCCACAACACATTTTCTTTTGGAAATGGTTCGTTTACTGTATGTTTTACTTCTCCAGCTGAGATGAAATTCACACTTATTATTCCTGAGATAACTTCTAACAAAGTCAGTGAACATAAAAGAAAACCCCCTTCCTCCTCAAGCTTCCAAAGAGGTTCCACTATACGAAGCTGGAAGAAAAAACACCGGAGCTGCTCTGGCAAGTTGAATTTAAGGTACATCACATGTTTGTTTGAGGCTTTGCATCCAAATAAACTGATAAAGTCTTGTCAGTCCAATTCCATGCACGCTGTTTTAATGAGGGCTGCTCTCTGACAGTCACTGCTCTACATTAAACCAAAGACATCAGCACATTACCATGTTTATCTATGGTTTGTTGGCAGCAGATAATCATGAGTTTACTCAAAACCAAAGCTGTGAAATCATTTGAAACATCAGAAATAATAAACCTTAGTATCCAGGGGAATAGGATTTACCCTGAATCTTATCCTTAGCTCACTGACTATGAAATGTGTCAAGGTGAAAAGCATCAAAGTAGTGTATTACATAGGAGTAAGGTCTCATAGTTATAAAGCCACAAATTAATGCTGAAAAATGAAAGTTTTATTTAAATTAATCTTTGATTATACAAGAGAGAGACCTCATCACCATAATATATAACAACTAAGAGTTTGATGTGTTCTTTACCTTCCCTGTCTGTCTTTTTTCTGTTCCTATCTCTTTGTTTTTGTGCGTGACTTATCAACAGTGTGAGAGGAGTTAGGCGAGCAGCTGTAGCACTCTGTGATCATACTGCCTTCAACAGAAGAATGTCATCAGGACTAATAGGATTGGCTCTTCACTGATTCAGCTCATGTGTCCTCTTGCATGTACAGTCTACAAAACACAGGCATGTTCAGCAGCTGCATTCACATTGTGCGCAACTAAGCTTATAAGCATATAAGGAGGAGCAGGTTTGTGTGCGTGTGTGTGTGTGTGCGTGTGTGTGTGTGTGTGTGTGTGTCTCTAGTTCAGCCTCCCTGCTCTCTCAGGCTGCCTGCCAGCATTGTTTGTGCGTTGCGGAAATCTCTCTCTCTCTCTCTCTCTCTCTCGCCCTCTCTCTCTTACTCTCTCTCTCTCTCTTTATCTTACTTTCCCGTCTCACTTTCTTATTTCTTTCCTGCCTCACACAATTTCTTTGTCCGTCTCCTCATGTTTTCTCTTTCTCCATCCCCAAACTCGATCATCCAAGGTTTGACACCTGTAGGAAAACATGTGATCTGCTCCTATCTGAACACATGCGAACAGAATCCAAACCTCCCGTCCACACGTGCACAGCATACACACAAACACTGTACATACAGTAAGTTACAGTTGTCGACCATTATGTCAGCGTGCAACATAATCTGTTCCAAGGTCAACTGTTAATCAGATAGTAAACCTCACCTCAGACAACCGCTTCATTGACTAGCTCAGTGACACTACGCCACTGTCTGAGGCCGCTTTCACTCTGCAGCCATTAATTCCAATTGTTGCTCCAATAGAAATTGTGAGCTGCTGCTGTGAGGCTGAGTGTCTTTCTTTAGTTATAACATCTGCTTCCTTTCCACTGCTGTTGGTTATAAATGCTAATTTCATGTAGGTTACATGTAGCAGAATTTGATTTTGTGGCACATATCCTCAAAGTTCATATCAGCATTGAAAGAAAGCAACTAAGTGCAGCTTTATGATGAGTTAGGATTATTCTAGCTGCAGGGTTAACGACATTATATAACAAAGCAACAAGTAAAAATAAGATCTAATCTTAAACTGTGGTCTAAATAAAAAAGACTTCACAAAATTCACAAATGGAGGAAAAGAATCATCAGACCTGAGTTCCAAGCCAAATATATCGATATATTTTAGAAGAAAATTACATAACAGGCAGACATGTGACATTGATCTTCTCATCTAACCTTCAGCAAGAAAGTAATAAGCAATAATGTGTTTGCGAAAAACGTCAAACTATTTGTTTAAGGTGCTTACTCACTGACAGGTGTGTGATACAGATTACAGCTCTAAGACAAGTCCAACAACTTCTAAAAAATTTGTCATCATAGACTGTTCACAAGAAAAAAATCCTCCCGACTTCTCATCACACTCTCGACAGGAAAGTGAGGATCGAGCCAGCGACCTTTCCCTCACAAGCCCGGTTCTCTAACCTTGGGCCACAAACTGTTAAAAAACATAAAACACATCAAGTCAATTTTCTCAACTTCACAACTTCAAGGGTGTCGCTATGGTATAAGGGACATACTGCTTAAATCCAATAGAGCCACCGGGTATCTGAGATTTAACGACCCTCTGTATTACTTTTCAGAACTGACTGGGGCAAATGATTTCCTAGAGGATATAAATTTAACTGTGGAATAGGACTCAGACAAATTGCCTTGCTCAGTTTGTATCTCTGGATTGATCTGTGCGATGTAATGTTATCCAAACTGTTCACCTTCACACTGAACCATTTTAAAAACAGCAGCTATTGCCACAGAACTACTGCATCTATGGCCCTATAACCTTGTTCCTTGAAACAACAAGGACTGGGACCAAAATGGGTCATAGGCCTACTTCTGATGGGTCCCCATTTGACAAGAGTATCAATGTGTATCCATGACTACTGGTCCCAGGACGGCTAATTAATTTCTGCTTTGAGTTTCTGAGCTGAAAAACAAAAATTGTTGCTTTATATTCCTGTCCAAAAGTTTCTTGCTGCTGTAAAGAAGGTCAGGCCATGCCCATTAACATCATAACCCCAACTGTGCTCATTGTTTTAGTTGAATGAGCAGAGTTATAATGAGAGCAGGCTCTCATTTCTATTCAGCAGAGCGGCTTCATCACAGTCTTAACAGCTCCAGACGGTCTCGCTTCGCTTGCTGTTTCACTTGTACTATAACCTCCTTAACCCTACTTTCACCTTAACCTTAATCCTGTTCTTAATCTGTCATTGATCTCAATTATATAGTGGAATGGGGCCATCCACAAGTGTTTACATGCAGAGCCATCTTCCCCAACCATTCTGACAAACGCAGGCCATCAGTGGCGTGTGGACAAGACAAAGTCGGACAGATAAGACGGAAAGAGAGAGACAGTGGGATGGAACGAGAGAGATGTGGAGAAAGAGGTCACATGACCCGGAGTCTGTAAACCATGTGAAGCTGCAGTATTAGTAGCATTAGTGGAAGTCCCTTGACTCCGTATTTGCAATACCTCTCCAAAAAAACAACGGGGTCATGAAAATTGTTGGGTCGCTGAAAACAGACGTGACAAATAGCAACAGAGAAGAGAATAAATGGTTTGATAAATTCCCTGCAGTGAATCATTTGTTGGTATAAGTGGCAACGGGGAGGATATAATAAACAGTATGACCAGACTTTACAAGCTTTGGAAGAATTAACAGGAGCACCTGTTGCATTGGGCAAATTCCACAATCTTTAATGGAATATAATCAAAGTGCCACTGTAACAAAGAATAAGTCTGGTGTCAGACCTGTGAACTGATACGTGTCTTTGATTCATGAAGTGAATCAGGTAGGTCTGGTGTTGTGCCCCTTCAATGTGTGTTTTGTGCATCTGAACAATCTGACAATCAAATCTTTCTAAGTGGGATTAAGAGTGGGGCTGCGATCTTCCTACCTTTAAAAGTACCCTACATCATAGCTAGGTAGCTAGCTCACTATGACATGAAGGTTGGTAGCTAGGTAGGTTAGCTGCCTCGCTACACCCATGAAAAATAGAGATAGAAAAGTGAAGATGAGCTTGACCCTTATGTGCAGGCTATTATGTGTTGACTTAAAGAAATACCGACTCTTAAATCGACCTATTTCTTTGATTGTTGAGACAACATCAAGTTAATGGCACCCAACAGCCATGATTGCAACTTCAGTGTCGACTGAAAATGACATTAATGGGCAAAACAAGATCAGACCCCGCCCCCAAACAAACATAAACTCAGTGGCAGTCTGATTGAATGAAGTGAAATTAAATGGAAAATCAGTCCAATTATCAGACTTTCCAGGAAGATGGCAGGAGCTTCCTTTAAGTCTGCAAAGCATCAGTATCTTGTTTCCTTGAGGTAAGCCTCTGTTTTTAAGTATTTCTATACAAGTTCAGAAAAAGTTATTGATTTAGTTATTATTCGTTAATAGGCTCTAATGATCAGCTTCATCAAGACTGTGTGGGGTTGATTTGATTAGAGTTGACCAATTGTTTAAATAACCAAAACTACATTTTGAGAAAGAAGAAAAATCAGACATTCAGACTCATCCACAAACCACCATGAAGCCACTACCTTGACAGAGCGATCTCAGCCTTCTGTCGGGCGATGTCGGCGGCCTTCTGTGCTCCCTCCACGGCCCGGTCCACCTTCTCTCTGATCTTACTGGCCCGCAGGGGGATCAGGTTCTTCCTCTTCCCGCTGACCAGGATGTTCTGCTTGTACTTCCCTTCCTCTTTCGTGCCATCAGGAAACGTAGTGCAGCCGTAGCCGTGTCGCTTGTTGCTGAGCCACTCCCCCTCGTACTGCAGCCCGTCGGACCGCCGGCTCACACCGAATCCTGTCCGTTTGTCATTCTTCCACTCTCCGCAGTAGGTCTCCGTCGCTGTGGCATCCACGTCGTCATCGGCGACAGCCAACTCTGCGTCTGCATCTCCGAGACTGGAAAGGTGAAAGGTTACATTGGTTTGGATGGTGTATTCAGACGAAGGCGCTACATATTTTTTTTTAGTATAACAAGCTTCGAGAAGAACTACAACAGTTTTGACTGACAGGTAAATTTTGAGAACTCGTCCACGTTGTCACTTAAGTAGTTCTGTACAACAGTGGCAGATTGTAGCTTTAATATTAGAGGCAGTTGATTATCTGAATTCACTCAACTGCACCATCTCAGCAGTCGATCCATCTGCCCAGCACTTCTGTGCAGCATCCCCCAGCTATAGTGTGGGTTGCCAGATATGGTCAGTGAGTGCACGATTTCCTTTCGTCTCTGTACCCGCACAACAGTACCGAACCTGGTAACCTCACTGGTTCACACAGATTGATATCAAACTTCCCCTGAACAAGAAGCAAATAAGGGCGTTACCTAAAATGTTGAATTTTTAATAACTCTAGAGAGAAAATGAGAAGATTTCATTCAGAGGGTCACGATCAAATCCAAGAATTACAACTTTCCCCTCATTCCCTTGTCCAATGCTTAATTTGTAAACCAGGAGGTCACAGAGAGGGCGCTGTTCTGGAAGAAACTGGTAAAAACCTTCTGGATATTCTGATGGTCCCCACCAGGATTTCTCCAGCTGCTCCCGATGGCCAAATCCAATTAAATACGTGCCTTAATCTGGGAGGTCGCTGATCCTGTTCCGGCACATATTAGCCCTGCCCTTGTCCCTATATATGGAGACAATACCAATCCTTGATATAATACTCCCTGGTGGTAAGCCACAGAGCAGTTCGTCTGAAGCTGGTAGGAAATAATATGTATTGTTCAACTAGGATTCAACATCGACTTGTTTTCATCTTGCCTCCTCGAGACTCAGTTGGATCGCTGCTTATACTTTGAGCATGTACCATCATATATGCATCATCAAATGATAAAAATAACTGACGAAACAGTTAAAAACTGATTAGACATTATATGCAAATGAATTATAAAGGTTGTATTTTATGTTGTAGAAGCTTTTTTCTCTCCTTATCAGCCTCGTCAATAACTAATCAGACCTGATAAGCTGCTGCTGTCACCACTGTGCCAACAAACAGGTTAAGAGCTACTGACACTCAATCCAGCATACTTGGAATTTCACATCAAGCATTTCCAATGGTACACTGATGGATTGATCACATTCAATTCAAATAAACTGTGGTTTACATGATGAACGAGACAAGTCACAGATCCCACCAGGACATCCGCTCTCTCTGATTGGCCCTGATCTGTTGTGACCAATATGATTGGTCAGATAATGTTAAAATGTACAACAGCAGAGCAGAGAGACAAAGATAACAGGCTTATCTCTGGGTTACACGACACAAAACCAGTAACTTTTTACCAGGCACCGGGCCAGCTGACCAGTAAACTGACTTTTCGACCCATAAGCCACTACGGACCGCATGACAATCCATTTTAAAGTCACTTAAGTAGGTCAGGTGCTTGGTGTGCCTTAAATCTATGTCCTCCAGATGAAGGACAGTTCCTGTTCGTAGTACATCATCCTTCCTTGTCCTCTCACTCCACCTTCCTCTCTACTTTCTTTCATTTCATTATACCATGACACTGTTGACATGACACACTTCTCTCCAAAGTCTCCTATTATGTAACTATCTTGTTTTTTAGGCTTCCTTCACTCATTCTCAAAGGGACAGTGGAAAGACCGCAAAGTCAGCCAGTACAGTATGTGGGTTTTTTTTTTTTTTAAATGGGGTTAAATATGATTTTAAAGTCCCTTGAAACGGCCTTGAAACTGTAATATTCGTCTATGCTTAAACATGTTTCTGCACTGAACAAGATGTGGGGGCCAGGGGGAGGAACTTGATGACTTAAAGACATGAGGAGGGTTGAGACGGGCTGCCCTGAATTGAAGTGCAAGTTTTTGACACTGCAGAACAAGGCTGTGGTTTACACATAATAATGTTTGTTTGATAGTGTGTGTACAACAAGAACCCACTTGCCAGACAAATATTGAACAATTTTGCAGAAACACAATATTGTTCTGTTTTAATTCTTCTTTCTCACATTAACTGCACTGCTGATGTGCAATGCGGTTACAGTTCTGTGGTTTTTTACAGATAAAATTAAGTTTAAAGTTGAGGTATGGTTATGATTAGGCATCTTGGTTATGATTTGTGAAAAGATCGTCGTTACCGCTGGTGAAAAAAGGCATTAATTGCGGATTTTGTGACGACACATGAACTCTAGTTTCCTGTATCAGAGTTAGACTTTCTGCACTACTAAATGCACTGGCACTGAATGTTGGCATGAGATGTAAATGGTGAGGTGGTGAATCATCTCTGGACATAATTCCCCAGAGATTGGGTTGGAATTCAAAACCAAAGGTCAAAATGTAATTGTTGTTAATAACATTTCCCATTTTTAATTCACTGTATCCTTATGATTTTCTTCGAGATCATCAGTTTGAACAGATCTTATCCAACCCCACCTCTTTCGTTGTCCTCTCCTGTTATTACCTGATGGTAGAGTTGATATCAGATGCAGCAGAGGACACGGTACTCATCCCAGCCTCGCTCCTGAATGAGCTCTGTTTAGATCTCTGTGAGGCCAGAGAGCTCCTGGACTCTGACTTCCTGAGCTTGAGCCCGGACAGGATGGACCTCCTGAACAGCCCGCCTTTCCTCTTCCCCTTCAGCAGCTCAGCCTCGCTGTGTGCCATCAACACGAAACCTCCACGAGACACGGCGGGGCTGCTGCCGCTGCTGCCCGTGCTGCACATGGAGACGCTGGTGGTCAGAGTGCCGGGAACCGGAGGAGGACCAGGAACCACCGCCCCGGTCCGGTCCAGCAGAGCGGTACCGTTGCTGTGCTCCGAACCGGAGCGGAGAGAGTTTATGGAGGTACGGAGCGGGGAGCGGATGACGGCCGCCATGCCGTATGGGACACTCTGACGAACTCCGTAGCCATGCCGCATCCCGCCAACCCACTGACCCTGAAATGTTCCTGGAGAGAGAGAGAGAGAGAGAGAGAGAGGAACAACTTTAATTCTACACATATTCACATTATGATTACTGAAGAATAAAAGTCTTTGATGCGCTTTGATATGGATCACTAAGAGCAGCAAGTGAGTATAAAGACAGAGATGACACAAAAGCATCACAATATTTCTACACAACTATATGAATTTGATATTGTTTATTAATCATTTGAACAACTCTGGTGATTGGACACATGAGAAAAGTTACCAGCACTTTAAATGCAAACTCCCACAGCTTTCAATGGGCTCAGGCTACAGGGATGTTGCACTTGTCGCCACACCCCGAGCAGTGATGTCAGAAATGATCATGTTTGCTGTAACATCCATCAGCTGGCAAATGCAAAAGCACATGTTTGATTGTGTACAACCACTGTGTACAGAGTTGGCCTATTAACATTTCTGTAGTACTTCCTGAATGTTAATTGTTACACCCTATACATGTATAGTGGACTCAAAACAATATCCCACCATGTATCCTAAATGGTAATGGTCTCTACCTCAGGAGCTAACTACCATTATAAACAGACAGGAAACAAAAGGCTGCAGCAGCCGGATGCAAGGCTGAATTACAAACCAAGCAAAATGGGCAACAGACTCCCACTGGCACGAAGACCACCAGGTTCAGAGCGTATTGCTTCGCTTTTTTCTTTTTAAAAAAAAAATAATTTAATTAACTGTAAATTTGTTAGGAAATTTGTACTACTAATATACAATATTAACTCTGCATTATTAGGGCTGCCCTGGTGGCAGCTATTAACTGCAATGTCCACGGTTCATATTCAGCCGGGGACCTTTGTTGCATGTTCTTCCCCCGTCTCTCTCTCTCTCTCTCTCCCTCTCCCCTCATTTGCTGTCAAATGAAGGCTGAACATGCCCTGTCTTATGCTGGAGTGGTTCTGGACGTCTGAATTGCCACCCACGTCTTGGACGTGATCAGCAATTCAAATAGGTCTGGTGTTGTGCCGCTTGATGTCTGTTTCTCCTGCTTAGAAAAACCATCTACCAATCAGATTTTAATAGATGGGATTAAGTTCCAAAATGCTGAGAAATATGGATGAGATCAGTCTACACACAGATATAACAACTTTTAAATCAATATATTTCTTTGATCAATGTGAAGAACATTTAATTGTTATTGTCTCTTGGCAACCACGACTGCAGCTTTCATGCCAGCTAAAATGATGGTGGCAGGATGATTGGTTATGAAAAAACAAAAACAAAATAACTTCAGTCTAGTTTTAATATTTTTTATAATGTATCTTACTTTGTATTGTGCTCACAGTCCTAATCCTGAGTTTGTGGGTTTTTAAACAGCTTTTTGTTTTTTGCCCTGAGGCCCAGAATCAGGTTAATCTGGTCATTGGCTGGATGAAACAATGACCTGAGCAGTGTCCGATTTCCTAATGTTTCATTTTCTTCACTCTTTGATTTAGGATCACTGAAGCATTCAGCAGTTTATAATGTTTCCTCTATAAATTTCTTATGCATATATTAGTTATAAAGTAATTCTTATTGACAAAAGATGAATGTTTCTGACCTGAATTTTTTTTTTTTTGAAATATGCCAAAACTAAAATAATTCCATATTTGACTGCTGTCTCTGTGATGTGTACACAGTCATATTTTAAATAAGATAATTTAAGTTTTAATTTAAGTAAGCGAAGTAGTACATGGGAGTGGCTTCCTCCTGTCAGCCCATCCTTTCCCATTCACACACACCATGTCTCTGCACTACCCGCACTGACTGCAGCATAATAGTCCTTACATCTCCATGTTGCTCAAAAGTAGGGCATCTGAGTGTGTGTGTGTGTGTGTGTGTGTGTGTGTGTGTTTCCGTCCTCTCTCTCTCTCTCTCTCTCTCTCTCTCTCTCTCTCACAAACACACTCCAATGGAAGTGTGTGTTCCAATTGGAGTGCAAGTGATCCATCCCGCCTGCTCGTACCTCTGATGTAACAGCACTCTGATTCATTCTGTAGCAAACGCACTTGCTCAAACCAAACTACATGACCATATAAGGACTGCAACCACGTTCTCCGTCTGTAACGCAAACACGCACAAACATTCCCCTGGTGGGCTCCAGTATCAGTGAAACGGGAAGTGCCGAATGAAGCCAAGTTTATAAGCCAATTGTATTCTTACTTAACGTTCAAAGACACACTCGAACACACTCACACAGGCGCAACAAGCACATGCACAGTGCTTTTACAAAACTTGAGTGAGAGGAGGTGCCGCTTCTGAACCTGAACCTGCCCTTGTCATTAGGATGACATGCTGCCTCTTATCCCTCAAACAAAAACACTCAGTCTGTGTCGCAGACAGCTGGCCAGCACATCTGGCCAGGCCTTTGTAATCATGTCAGTACACAGCTGTACGACCATATGACAGAGAGATCAAAGAACACACATGCGCACAGCCACAAACACCCGTGCAACACCGTGGCGAGATTACCATGTCATTAAATGGCTGCCTGAGTGCTTGAGCAGGAGACAGCGGACAACAGGAGAAGAGAGACAGTCCTGAGTATCCAGAGAGAGACAGAGCATCACCTGTGTGTTGTGCTGACAGTGCAGAGAGTCTATGAGATTACTCAAAAGTTGGTGTTTAGAATAAGAAACACTTTAATTAAATGCAGAGCAAACAAAACAAGAGCTGTGGCCCAAATACTAATTTATACACCGGAAAAGTCACGAAACAGTTAGTATGCGTACTGAAAATGATTGATTTTTGAGGGTGCTTTTGATGTACACTACTCTCCCACAATGCAGTGCACAACAGGAATAGAAGAGCTGCTCACAGATGGAAAACAACTGAACAAGAACTAAACTATGGATTGTGGTGAAACAGCTTCAGAAAAAACCTCAGAGAGGAAAAATAACAACAAAGTTTGGGCGAAAAACATTTTGCTGACTCTCTGTGAAGTTTCATTGGCAGTTCTCAAAGTAACAGTTCAACAGTTTGGGAAATACACGTTTTTGCTTTCCTTAGTTAGATGAGCGGATTGATACCACTCTCACATCTGTACAGTAAATATGACGCTAGACCTAGGAGAGAGTTAGCTTAGCTTAGCATAAAGACTGAAAATGGGGAAAAAGCTACTAAGGGTTGGGCAATACCAAACTTTTTTTAATTTGTTATAACACCAATACTTTTTGTTTCAATTTTAACAATAGCAATACCAATACTGATCATTTCCTAAATATCTATCACAAAAGCAAGTAAGAGTACAATTAATTAAAAAAGATTTGTGCTAATAAGTCAAAAATAGTTCAGTTTTTTACATAAATACTACAACTAAATGACAAAAATAAATAATTATAACATAAATATGAATCAAATAAATTAAAATACCAGCAACATAAAACGTGCACATTTGAAGGCCATGATTCTGCCATTCACATTCACCTATTTATGATTCCTGACAGCAATGTTCAGAAAAATAAATACTTCATTAAATGTTCTTGCCTTCTGACATTTCTTTAGTTATATTTTTAAATAATAAGTTACACTTTGTAAAGAACCTTTTAACACTTTCTCACAGCAGCGATTGGGGGGAAAAGTCACATTTTCCAACATTCTCACATTTTTTTAGAGCTCTCAGTGAATATAAGTTGGCATTTTACACAAGTTTTAAAATGGTGTTGAATGGTCTGCACCAATCCTTTCAGTGTTTGCAGTGGGTGACCCTTGCGGCGCTGGCAAGGTTTTTCCCATAGAGGCAGCTGATGCAGTAACAGCAGTAGTTTCTGCATTTCCAGTCACACAAAAGACACTGTTTTTGAACCTAATGTCCAAAAAAGTGGTGGCTGCAAGAGAATAGTTGTGTTGCACAGCGTTGTCTTCTCTTTGGAGAGGAGAGAAGAGGAAAGACTTTAGAAATGGTACGTACTGTTCTGCTGAAATTTCCTGAGGGCTTCAACGGTTTAACTGATATGGGACCTTTTTGCTGTTATAACCACTTGTTGTCATTCATACAGTCTTTCCAGCATGTAAAAGACCAAATTCAATCACGTCTCTACTGCTTGGATTAGTCTGTGCTCTGGCAACTGCAACTGAATTAGCAGCATCTGCCAATTCTGTTCAGTTATATTAGAATAAACATATAACCATATTTATTCTGATTACCCATGTTACATTATTCATGCAACAACAAAGTTTTTATATATAAATATTGGATAACAATAAGCTGAGCTATATCTGCCTAAGTGTTAGTATACACAGTGTGTCTAATATTTTGTCCTCTCCATTTAAATGCTGTAAATTCTACTGTAAAGGGTAGAAAAAACCTCTCAGTAGAACACATTACGGTTGAACAGCAGCACAAACTGCAGCCTCCAAAATGACCATAAAGTTGAATAAACACCTCTCTAAAACACTTTCAACAAAACCTGAACATTGCAACCTTCAGGATAGTAGGATTTACTGCAGGACTGTTGTACCAAACTGCATTAGTTTCAGCAAGGTGTACCTAAACTGGCAACCGACTGTGTAAGTGAATGAATATATGTGAAGCAGTGTGTGGTTTTTTTTTTGCTTTTTCATGATTTCTTGGAAGCGTGTACCACCCTCAATCAGTAATGCCTGGGTAAATAAAATATTCAGTGGGGCACTACACTGCTTTTCCAGTGTCTGCCTGTCGCTCTCCATGGTGCTGAAAAATAAGGTCTGCAAAGCTGGCAGTTGGCAGTGATTTTCCTTTGAAATCAAACCCATTTACAGTTTTTATGTGAACTCAGTTCATGACATGGAAGCTCTAGAAAACATAAGCATCTGCCAGAGTGAGGTACAGGCTTTGTATTGTCAGAAAAAAACACTTTACCTACTGTCAAGACAAGAGAGACATGCAACAGCAGATTGGGTTATCCCCCTCTCATTATTTTCACTATGAACCTGTCACAGTTGTATTGGGAAAAAAAAAAAAAAACAGACTTCTGGATATATAAATGCCTCAACCCCAGGCCTACAGTTG